GTAGTTAAGGTTAGCAAAAGCTTTCAAACATTTTCTACCTTCCGTACAAAATCCAGGATAATGGCACTGGCGATGATTTGCAAACAGTTTTGGTCATAATCCTGAATGCCCTTGCATTTATGGGGATTAAATCAGACCTCAAATAATAGGAACATAACTCTGGTGGTCTAATCGCTTAATTGTGTCACTTTAACAGTGATACGTTTTTATTATTTACAGAAGAGGTCATAAAACTGTTTGCAGATGTTTAACTTTTGATTATTTTAATTCTAGCAGTAAATAATGTAGCAAAATAGCTTTTAAAGATCTTCCCTGAGTGTATTTTTTGTGCTTATGATAGTCCCTGAGTAATGTTTTAACAATTGCTTTAAGCTGAACATCCTCTTCCATGTGAACAGCCCTTAAATCACAAACTATAGTAAAATTCTGTTGAAAATTAAATAAATGGAGAATTGGTAGTTCCTAATTAACCAGTAAGAAAAGTTTATGAGAGGTGGATTGAATAAATATCAAAGCTTCTGAGTTATATTATCTTTCATAAATTGGCTTTTCTCCAATTAGTGTATGCTTTCAGAAGCAGGGGAATAAGATGAAAGGATCTGCATCAAAACTGATTACTGCTGAAATGAGATGGAAGTCGCTGCTTTTGATAAAATACAAGACTATGGCAGTGCTTGAATAATTTTATGGGAAGTTGCTGCCTAAGGCGTACGTTTTACTGTCTGGTACTGAATGCACAAGGAAAGACCATCTGTTTTTTTCAGCCTGAACAAATATATGATCCAGCTTGAACCACTAGAGGCCAAATATAATTGCTCTGTGTTTTGCTTTGTACTGCTCTCTACCTACAGCAGCATCCTCTTGTATAGCACGTATCACAGCACACAGTTCAAATGATGGCATTCGAAAAGTACTTTTTCCTCTATTGAGGGTCATAAAGTGACTACCCAGGGCTTAATGCAATCCTCTACACTTCATCTGTCACTGGAGAAATAGTTCATGTCAGGAAAGAACAACTTCTGATACACTTTGACCACCACGGAGTTTGAACCTTAGAGATTTATTGTTGCTGGACAGATCCTTGTTTAGCGTCCAGCCAGGTGAAAGGCGTTGCTGTATCCTTCGTGCCTTCAGTTCTAGCTGGGGAAAAAGAGAGGTGCTTTCACTGCGTGGCCCGAGTAAACAGATTACATTAAAGAAGATAGAAAGTGAACCTGACTATCGGTTTACTTCGAAGGAAAACACGTCTGTGGTAAATAAACTACAGAAAATATTCCAAAACACTTAATCCTTTTACTTTTGTTGCTAGTGTTGTGTTTTACAGCACCTAAAAGTATGCTTTTGGTTTTGCAAGGCTAATAGGACTGCGTTTCTCCCCTCCCCCAAAGTGCTTACAGTCTAATTTTAGACATAATATGCTGAATGGCAGTAAAAAAAGTGTTCAATGTTGGAGAGGGGAATGAGGGATAGAGGGGCAAGATTTGAATGTGTGGGTGGATAAATGCAAACATTTTTCTTTTGTTCTTTAATAACAATAATTAATAACAATGCTCCATTCCTTTTAGAGTTTCTGGAAAAACTGAGAACAAAAGGTTAGAGAGGTTTGGAAAAATATCTTTCCAAGACTATGCTTACGTATTACTGTGAGGATTGTTTCTGCTTTTCATGGATAATCTGCAGAACTATGTCTACCAGGTGCTAATCTAAACTGCATCTGGCTTTCCTGAATATTTACCTTTATTTCAATTAATACACTGCTTAACTGTACTGATTCCCCTCTCCTGACTCACTTTTCCCATCTATCGTGAATCGACACTTTGCCCACAGTGATCTTCTAAATCGCCGTCCTGAAGGAACTACAGCAAAGCAAGCGGTGGGTGAGCAGGGAACAGATTTGTGACTGCAGGACTGGGCTGGGACTTAAAAGGTTCAGGTTTATTCCACATATAAAGACTTTCCATGTAGCCTTAGGCAAGTCCCTTACCTTTTCTGTGCCGTGGTCTCCAGCTGTGATATGGGAACAACCAGCTTGCTTTTTTTCCTGCTGCGTCTGTTTTCTATAATTGTGCTGTAAGAGATCTCTTCCAAGTGAAAACTTGTATTGTGTGTTTGGACAAGACCCAGTACAACTGGGCCTCCAATTTAGTTGGTATTACTGGAATACAACTAAACAAGAGCAATTTTTAATACCTAAACACAAAGGAACTAAGAAAATATCATTTTAACTGATTCAGGACTAAAGAAATTCAGCAAAAGGAAATTACATCCTTTTACTGTAAATTCTTAGTCACTTCTTAATTTTATTTTGCCCTCCGTGCAAGCCTTAACGAGGAGAAACCACATTTATGCCTGTGTCAGTAGGATGTAATTATAGGGGGGTTGTATCTGAAGACTGTAGCAGCTGAAACTACCAGTAATGTTCTGGGAGATTTTCCTTTTTAAAAAAAGTGTGGGGAAGGGGAGCAAAATTGCTCACAAGGTGGATTTTTGTCACTTGAATGAGTTTTTTATGAAACCTTTAAGCATATATATGCTGATCTTTATCTTTCTTTAGTCTGGAAGATAGATGTGCCAATGGTACGTCCCAGAGATGCCCTTTACCCTCCTGGATAAGAACTGTTTTATTTACAGTTCTTAATAGAGCTTATATGCAAGCTCCTACCAGATTTGATTTTCAGAGTAGAACGCCCCAGCAATTAAGTGATAGGCTACAAGATGTGCCTCCGATGTCTTATCGCATTGCATATCAGATTTTCTACTAGAAATTCTGAAGAAATGGACTTAATTTTTATCTAATGTACTGGATATATTACAGCACTACTATATTACAGCACTATGGAAAATCCGTATGTTGTAAGGGAAAGAGCAATTTTAGCTCCTGAAGCGCAAGTGGGGGCCGATGCAATAATATAGTAATGTTTGTACCTGGTAGTTAGAATCATAGAAGAACTTGGGTTGGAAGAGGCCTCTTCGGGTCATCTAGTCCAACCTCCTGCTCACTTCCAAGTCAGACCAGAGCCTTTTGCAGCCAAGTTCTGAAATCGCCAGGAATAGAAATTTCACAGCCTCGCTGGGCAACTTGTTCCTGTGCTGAACCACCTTCACTCTGACTTTTTTTTTCCTTATCGGTAATCATAATTTTCTTTCCTGCAAACTGTGTCCTCTCTGCCTTCTTTATAACCAGAATTAGCTAGCTGAGGAGAGCAGTCAGAGGTCTCAGCCTCCCTTTGCCCAGGCTGGACAAACCCAGCTCTGTTCAGACCCTCCTATATGTCATGAGCTGCAGCCCTGACCACCTTGGTGACCCTCCCCTGGGCTCGCTTCGGGCTATCCATCTCTCTTCCACGCTGGGGAGCCTCAAACTGGGCACAGCACTCCAGATGTGGTCTTTCAGATGTCAAACAGGGGAAAATAATCCTTTCCCTCAACCTGCCAGATACGTTCTTCCTAGTACGGCTCAGCGTACGAGCGTACGAGAGCACGCTGCTGAGGGATGTTCAACTTGGCCACCAGAAACACCCCACACACACTCGCCAGTACTTTTCTGAAAAGGTGCTTTCTGTGCCTTCAGAATTATTGTGTTGGTTAAAGGAAACGTCGTATTGAAAAACATATGCACCCTCTATCTAGATCAGTAATTTCTATGTTTTTCCCCTTTGTCCCTGGAAGAGGAGTCCCTCTGAGTCCCTTTTGTATCAGGAAGGAGCCATTTGCACTTTCTTGCAGTTATATATCTGCATTAATTACAGTGCCTATTCATGTTGGGTTAGAGCATCTGCTAAGAAGAGTCCCAGCAATTCAGACAAAAGCCAAAGCCCTGCCCTTTGTTAGTTGACTCATTGCCCAGCATGACTGACAAGTGTTTTAAGATGGAAATTAGCAAAACATTGATAGAATCAATTATTACTACTTCCAAAACCTAGCACAAGAATTTAAAATATAGAACATGAACCGCCTTGCACTCATTCAGTGTGCTGCCTGGCTGATTAGTCAGTTCATGGTATTGTGGGTGAGATGAACTTCTTTTCTGGTCCAATTCATAGATGGTTTCACCAGCACAGTGGTGTTATCATTGGTGAAGCAGTGCGATAGGAAAGGATATTCCTTTTCATCCATACTATAGGCGTCAGAGCAATACCAGCTCTGCAGGCTCATCTCTGCAAACACCACGTGCTGTCTGCTGTAAAGATCAGACCTGGGATATGCAAGAATTTCTATAGTGATACCAGGTGTTTGCATCTTCCTCGCAAAGAGATTTAGCAGCGTGTTGGTGTTTTGCTTTGCCTGCCTGTATTCGTCAGTACCATGACACGTGCAAGCTCATGCAAGCTCAAACTCGCAGTCATGTTTTCCCGATTGTAATTGCACGACTTGTGTAAGACTTTCTTAATTCCCTCCTTTGTTTTAACTTCTTCGATGGGTTGTATGATATTAAGCTTGTTCCCAGAATGGAGCCTGTCCATTTAGGGCCATAACTCAACTACCTCTCAGCTTCTAGTAGTTTGTACAGGAAGTCTTGCTCAGAAGGAAGTTGTTTCAGATGGGCGGTTAGGTGCAATACGTACCTTAGCTCTTCGATAAGCTTATACAGCAGATATTTGTGGTCAGTTGTGGGAGAAATGATTTTTCACGCTGGGGAGAGGACGCTCCCATTGGTGATCTTTCTTTAAAGCCACTAAGAGTATCTGGACTGCATAAAGATACAGGAGTGTGATACCAAAAGTAGTGTCTGTGCATATTGGGTCATTTCTCCAAGAAAATCTTGTTTCTTGTCTTTGTTTCCATTGATTCTACCAGTGCTGCTCAGAAGCATGTGGATTTAGTAATAGGCTATTCTAATGTCTTTAATGAACCAAGTTAAGTAGTGGTTGAATTCCTTTCTATTATTGAAGACTGTTCATTGATAGTCTTCTATTAATGTTGGTGAAGTAGGATCAATATAGATACTGGGTCAGGGTTCTGAAAAATATTAACAATTATTAATATTCTTTCTTTTTCAGTTTTCTCCTTGTGTTTGGTTGCTTGATTTTGTCCGTGTTTTCTACTATTCCTGAACACACAAAACTTGCCTCTGGTTGTCTCTTCATTTTGGTAAGTGAAACTTCTAAATACAAGACAGTTTTACAGATACTTTTATATACACTCAAATACTCTCCCTCACCATGGAGAAAATAGTATAATTCCTGAATGCTTTAGGAAACCAGACTTTTCATCAGAATGATGAAAAAAATAATAAAATAGAGGATTCCACCATCTTTTTCTTTAAGAACAGGTCAGATTGTATGAAAGTGTTAATAAAGTACTGTATTGCATCCCCTTCTTTGCTTGAGAATTGCTGTGGTTTATAACTGATAGTTTTTCTACTGCAGTTTGGCAGTGACTGAGCATGAAAGACCTTTGATACTGCTGCTGCCATTTATAAAGTCAGTATATAGTAAGAGGCACTTAAAATAGGAAATAATTTTGGTATCTTAGATACCAATTTGTGCTAGCTGTTGGTAGATACTGACATTTTAGTGGCAGTTGCTGCAGTAGGATGTAGTGGTTTTATTATTTCTTCATAATACATGCTTTTGTATTATGTTCATCTCTCCTTTTTCCCTTCTGAGGTAGGTATAAATGGCTTTAATCCCTGAAAGTGCCTAACATTTTTCATGCATTGTATGGACGCCACTTTATTCATCTGCTTCTTGATGGGCCATTTAGTTCTGAAGTGATGGCCTGAGGATAGGCGGTAGTGATCATTAAAATGTCACTATATACCCAGAGTTACCATGGTTATTTCAGTTCCATGTATACAGCAGACTGTGGCTTGTTAGGTAGTGCCTGGGGTGAAGTAACTGTTGACAAATGCCAACATTTTAATTGTCATCACTGTATATATCTGAACATATATATATATATATATATATATATATATATATCAGAACAGCTCCCTAATTAATTTTGGCGTGAGCAGGCTGATAAGCATAATTATGGTGTATGCTATGTCTCTACAGCACAATGTGCCACTGCGTCAAGATACCTGAACTAAATGTCCAGAGCTGGCTAGGTGCAGATGTGTGGTGTTCTGCTCCATCTGATGGTTTCTTCGCAGGGCTAATTAGGGAGAGCCGTGCTAAATGTGGTCTTTTTGCTTCCTAGCCACATTAACGTTTTTTCTTTTTTCTGGAGAAAAGATCAGGTGGCATTAAACCAGCTAAAAGTGATTAGATTTAATCCTATGCTCATACCTAGTCCCATTATTTACATATCTGAACAACACTTTGTAAATGGAATGCTCAGCAGCTAGCTCTATTATCGCAATTACTACGCTAATTGCTAAGATTTTCTGGTATAGAAAACAGGAAAATTTGATTAGTGAGAAAATACTCTATTTCTAATAGCAGGTGCTTTTGTGACAAGTAATCTGTTTCCCTGTATACTTACGCAAATTGGTTGTCGAAATGCCATTTGTTCTGACATAAAATATGCATTTCCCACGAGCCACGTGTTTGTTGATTGTGTCGTACGCTTACCCCCGCCGATTCCTCAGCTGGCTCGTAAACACATTCCCTGTTCTTTGCCGTGGCTCTCCCGGGAGCCTGACCGTGGAGGAGCCCTGCAAAGCCCTGGCTGTGCTCCCACCGCCGGGCAGAGGTGGGTGAGCTCCGCTAGCCCCTCACACCGGTCCTTGTAGAGGTGTCCGTCCGCGGAGCGGCGTGGGGGCTGCGGTGGGAAACTGCAGTGCTTTCTGCTCCCGTGCCTTCGAAGATGGACTTTGTCCACGTTAACGGTTCCGGCCGTACATCCCGTGGCAGCCTCTGAACACGGGAATGGCCTCAAGGAGGGAGAGGGCGGACGGTTAATCCTCGAAGCATCAATACTAGCCTGGTCCAACAGTTCTACGCTATAGCCTAGCGCGTTCCACAAACCCTTGGCAGGAATAAATCTAGTGATGACGAATCTTACGGCTCCTGCTGTGGGTCTCTAATGGAGAAAAATATAAACACAGTGAAGTATGAAGTTCCAGAAGCAGGCTAAAGCGGACTGGTTTATTCCAGTTTGCTGATGCATGACTTGCTCCTTCTCTGCGTACTGAATCATTAACTGATATTAGCAATGTTATCAAAGCAGGCTTTTGCAACCACAAGCCAAGAGAAAAATACATTTCTACATTAACTCAGGAGCAGTAGTTTTGGCTGTGCCAACACATAACTGCAGTCACTAGAGTTTTCGCAACCTTTTCCTTGCAGTGATTCACACAACTCTTACAAATGTGTCATTTAGCAGAGACCGTTGTATTAACTATCAGAGATCTGGTTTAATACTGTTTTGCTTCGTGCTCGAGATGGAAGATATATGTTTATTTTCTAATGAAGTACCATACAAATACAACAATCCGTAGAGCTGCCCGCTGGGTTTCTGTGAACTGTTTGCTTCGCAGATTTATTCCAGATGGTGCCCCCTACAGCCATGTTAATTGGCTAAAAAGCTACTGTAATATTCCTTCAACTTAATACCTGAGCTGCTGCCTGCACTGGCACCTGTGGCTTTTGACATATTGCAGCTATTCACAACTACACAAGGAGGTTAAAGAGGGAAGTGTAGATGAGGTCAGCAAACCTTTGCCCCCTTCTCAGCAAGGCCAGAGGAGCTGAGAAGATTATTGTTCTGCAATCAGTCAATTCCATTTATCTCCCCCAGCCTCGCCTTACAAGGCAGCAGAAAACATATCTCCTAATCACTGCATCCTAAATGCTCTCTCAGAAAAATACAACAGCGCGCGATAGCTCAGAGTAAACCGTGGTTTGGGAAAGCAGTATTAGCTGAGGGCTTCTGAGCGTCAGCAGAGGTTAATGGGCTCGTCTGGGCTGCAGAAACGCCCGAGCTCTGCTCCCAGCACCAACGTCAACCTGCTGCGTCGTGCCGTACCCGGCCAGGGCTTCAGGGCTGGCATCGCGCAAGTGCTGCTGCCTTCCTAGGCAGCTCCTGCTGATCGGGGGGGCCGTCAAGGGAAACGCGTTTAGTGTTTGAATTTTATGCTTGAAATGAAAGCCCTGCAGATTAAGTGATGTTGCATGCAGCAGCGTTGGATTGTTACATCAGTAATTAATTCGGTTGGGTTTTTGTCCAGAAATAATAAGCCCAGCTAGGGGGAGAGCATCAGATAAAACTCCTTATACCTACAATGATAATTATGCTTCAGCCTCATCCGTGCACACAACTTCTGGCGCTCAAGTTGTAGCAGTGATATATCCCAGACAGACGGTAGAATAAAATCTACTTCAACATCAAAAAAGCCACAAGCAGCTTAAGAATCCGACTAACACAGCAAGAAAATAATCTTTGGTGTGTTGCTGATCTCCTACAAGTACTTTTGCTGGCACTTTATCAAATAATAAACACAAGGGAAGTAAAACTTAGGCTGGGAAGGCAAAATCAAATCTTTTGGGGAAGATAGCCAAGAAGGAATATATCTGGAACTGGAGGTCATTCACTCTCATGACCAAACTCTCTATATTTTAAGATCATTTTCAACTGCAGCTATGTGAATAACTGGTTCACTTCTGTTTCTTTGCTGTCAATTCAAGAAAATAAATAAAATAATTTGAGTTGACCCATAAAGATTTGGCAAATCAAAAAGTCCAAAAGAAGTCTTGGATCAGTTTAAATGTTTCATTTGACCTGGCATAAAGTATTATTTGTGTATTTGAGCATTTTAGAACTTTTGGCTTAGAAGTAAAATCGAGGCTGTAGGAAAGAAATGTCATTTTTATTTGAAGTGACAAAGCATTCTTTTTTTTCAGGATTTTCATTTTTAATCAAGGTGGAGAGATTGAAAAAAATCATGTGAATTTCTGCAGGACTGGTTTTGTCAAATCTGGTTTGTGTTTTTCTCTGAAAAAGGCTGGGGTAGAAAGCTGTACCCATTTCTGTAGGATAAGGGCCTCTTTAAAATGTACTCTAGGAACACATTCTTCAGGCAGAAATAGCTCCCTAAGACATAAAAGCAGACAGGGTGCAGTAGATGAGGCTAGCTTCTACATGTACTGTGGTCACTTACATGAATCCAAAAGGCGAGGCTAGTAAGTGCTTCTGGCAATTAAGATCTTCCTAACATTCCTTCCTTCTCTAACATTTTCCTGTAAAAGAAACGTAAAAAGAGGATGAACGTTGATTAAAAAACATAGGGTATAGCTGCCCCATAGCGGGCAAGCACATATTCAATTTGTCTCTGCTCTAGGACAGTGAATCCACCCACAGAGATGTAATCATACAAACCCACTAGAAAATTTTAATGCTGGGCAGAGTGGATATAAAAAAAAGGGAGAAGTGCTCAGTTCAGATTATTGTCCCAGAACTTGAATCCTCTTGTGACACCAGACCTGAGCAGAGGACTGGATGGATGGCTCTGCAGGATCAGCTAACAATGCATAAAAGGAAAAACCGAACGATCTTCAGAGATTTCGATTGCAGATACATATCTAACACATGTTATTGCAGTTTCGTTGCAGTCTTCTCTCCGGAGAGAAACAGATGAACTGATCCTTGAGCTGAAAAATCAGTGATTTTCAAGTTTGCTAGAGCTTGTCAAAACTCAGAATCCGTGTTTCTCCAGAAATACTTGTTTTCAATGTTTTCTTTCATCCCAAATCAAAGCAAGGGTTTGAAATTTCAAAAGTTGTGCATAGAAATCACTGAAAAACTATCTCTCTTAGACATACAAAACTGACGTTATCAAAGACAGAATAAAAGAGGGGATATGTAATGTTGGTAAGGTCAGAGCCTTCATGTTTTCAGTCTTGTTTGGATTCATATGCACTAATATTATAATAGGGTGATAACATGAGCATAAAACAATTCAAACATGTCATAATCAACTACCTGTTAGCTTTGAAAGAAAATAGTCTTTCCTCATCAAAATAAATAATTTCATGTCTTTGTTGATTAAATTGATATTCTCCTAATATGCATACTGATTTCATCAAATCAGAGCTGACTGTTGTTATAAAAATTTGGAACAGATCTCATTACTACTGCTTGAGAATCTTTGTGTGCAAATAGAGCAGACTTCCCGTTCGAAATGTAAGTGCTGGTTGCACTTTTCT